GTTGTTCAGCATCTTAGCTGTAGAGGGCAGCGTCACTGGCCCTCATGTGGGATCTGAACCGGGGCCCTGCTGCTCAGAGCTGGCGTCCCAAGCCAACTCCTAACCAATGCGCCACTCAGCCGGCCCTGGTTTAGTCTTTTTTATTTTATTTTATTATGATAAGAATGCTTAACGCAAGATTACCTTCTTAATAGAGTCTTAAATATACACTACAGTGTTGTTGACTATAGATGGTTAAGTCTTTTTTAACAGATAGTTAGTGAGCCCCGCATTGGTGCCCGGCCCTGTGCTTGATGCCTAGGGTCAAAGGTAAAGAAGCTACCGTTTCCTCTCAGCAGCCAGAGGGATCCTTCAGAACCCTCAAGCTGATCGTCTCAGTTCCTTGTCTAGAACTCTCCAGGGCTTCCCATTGTTCTAGTAATAAAATCCAGTCCTCATGTGGACTCATCTCATGTGTCTCTCCCTTCTGCTCGCTGCCTCGGGGCCCCTCCAGGCTTCTGCCCCTTGTGGGACCTTTGCCCTGATACTCCTTTCTCCTGGAGCATTCTTCCTCTGCAGACTTCCCTGGTTGGACTCCTCCTTTTCCAGGTTCTCCGCTTGAAAGCTGGGAATCGGACTCAGGCCTGTGGGCTTCCAAACCCTCTCTCTATCCACCATGCTCTCCTGCCTTTGTTGGGCCCATCCCCATAACAGAGATCTTGGCACAAGTGAGGGGGCTTCGTTATCTGACAGCCAGCCCCATCGCACCCTGTCCCTCTCCAGCGCATCTGCTCCCGTTTTGCCGTGTGTGTTTGGAAGTGCCTCAACTCCTGGCCTTTTGATTTGTGTACCACCAGCAAGAAAGTTACAGTGAATTTCTAAAGTGTTGAAAAGATGGTGATCCTGGGAGATTGGCACTCTTATCCCTCAACACGTTCGAGGGGATTCTCTTTTTTAAAAATGGAGGTATAATTTACTTAGGCACAAATTATAAGTATACAGCTTGATTAGTTTTTGAAAAGTGAGCACACCTGTGAAACTACTCTCTTGATGGAGCTTTAGAACCTTTCCACCCACCCAGTGTCTTTGGGAAGTCTGGCTGGGTGGGGAGGTGAGCCTGCTTGGGGCAGAGACAGAGCCTCAAAGAGCCTGCGAGGCACCCCGCGCCTGGGGGTTCTGAGTGCCTTTTGCGCTCCATCTTGCCCAGACCTCTGAGTTTCTCGGTGGTTCAGAGTCAGTGGTGATAGGGGTGGCTGCAAAGATGAGGGACTCCAGTCATGTGGACACATGGAGATAAAGGGCACATGTGTGCCCTTTGCAGGGCGTCCACTCCCTGCCCCGGGAGAACATTGCATCCCAGAAGGTGCTCACCCCCAGCCCCTCCCCCCAGCAGCCCTGGCCCGTCGGGAGGAGGAGAGCCTGGCTATTCCCACCAAGCGACGTCGGGTTACTGCCGAGATGGAGGGGAAATACATCATCAATATGCCCAAGGGCACCACCCCCCGGACCCGCAAGATCCTGGAGCAGCAGCAGGCGGCAAAAGGTACTGGCCTGGTGGGGGCACGCTTTGGTGCAGACAGTCTTTCCCTTGGTGTCATGCAAGGTTGGCCACGTCCCACTGGCATCGGCTAAGAAGCAGGCTCTAATGGGATCCAGGGGGCCTTGGATGGAGGGGGCCATGATATGGCTGTGGAGGAGGGGGGCAGGCCACCACCTCTGCCCTCTTGTCCTGCAGTTAGTGCTGTAGGCCTCCTCAGCCCCTCAGCTGGTGCTCTTCCCCGTGGGGCAGGAGTATGGACTCAGTGATGGCTTTCCTGTGAAGTGTGCAATCTTGCCCATTTGAGGGCAGGTGCCCAGAAAAGTGGGAACTGTCAGTATGAGCTAGAGGGGTCTGGTTGAGATTCAGTCCATTGCTGGGGTTTGGATCTGGTAGTACCAGAGATGGTGCTCTGTAGAATATTAGAATATTGTATATGTTCTTATGAAAAAACATTCAGATGATGTGGAAACATATACAAGAAAAGCACTTTCCCCTCCCTCCCATATCCCACACCTGTTAATCTTTCCAGACCAGCATCCATGAACTTATATGCACCTGCACATATGTCTACACATATATAGGCATTGTTTCTTTTAAAACATAGGCATCATCCGGTAGGTGTAGTCCGATAACTCTGTTATTGAGATCTTTTTACATTAGTGCATGTACAGCTACAGCTGGCCCTCCATATTCATGTGTTTTGCATGCCATGCTGCCAATCACTATGCTGACTGAACCCATGTGAATGAAGTGATGTGTAAGCAAACCCTGCCGTAGCCGCCATGCAAATAATAGGTTATATGCAAATATGCCACTGTTTTATATAAGGGATCTTGAGTATTGTGGATTTCGGTATCCATGGGGGGTCCTGGAACCAACCCTCCTCAGATGCCAAGGGACAACTGTACTTCATTCTTATTAATGGTGGTTTCATATTTCCATAGTATTTGTCATCATTTTGTAAGCATTCTGTTGGTGGCTGTTTAGGTTGTTATTTAGGGAGAGGACTCATTACCATTCTTCAAATTACCTCGGAGACCCATAACCCCTTAAAAAGAGGGAGAGGCTTGAGTAGGGATTAAGAACTCTTCCGCAAACACACTTCATGAACTTGCGCTAATGTGCAAAGAACGTGTTGTCAATTTTAGTTGTTCCTTCCCACATTTGACACTAGCCACAAATGTGTGGGTTAAGGTCAGTGTTCACCAACAGCATAGACACACAGCCTAACTGGGCCCAGTCTGTGCCTGCTTGTACCAGCGCCACCTGGGATCTGGGCTGGCCATGTCGTCCCCTCCCTTCTCTGCACAGCGGTCAGCCGGGCCTGGGCCCACACAGGCTCCTCAGCAGGTGCTGGCTGATGGCCCCTCTTTCCTCCCAGGTCTCCCCAGGACGTCCGTGTTTGACCGCCTAGGTGCCGAGACCAAGGCGGACACGACAACGGGGACTAAAGTGAGTTGGAAATGGAGGGGCCACTTGGAGTCCTGAAATTTTTGTCTTCCTTGGGTGGTGTTCTTGGTACTTTCCACATTGCACCGCTCACACGCCCTGGAGCTACCTCACCCCCTTTCCAGCCTCAGCTCCGTTCTTTGAGCTGGTGGCTTCCTTGTCTGTCTTCTGCCCCAGCCTCTCTGCCTGGGTCTGGCTGACTCCCGGATGCCTCCTTGGACCCCTCCCACCATTATGTCCCAAACTGGCCTCAGTCTCTTCCCCCAAAGCTACTTCTCTCTTCTGGGCCTCGTCTCAGGAACCCCCCACTGCCCCCATTCCAGGCAGTCACCAGTCCAATGGCATCACCTGTCTCGCCTGCTGTCACATTTCCCTGCCTGGATAGGGCAGTGGTCTCCTAACTGGTTCCTGTGCAGCTGCTGTGAACCCCTCCAGCTGCTCTCCCACAGCAGCAGTGCGTGCTGCCCACAGTACAGGCCACCTGCCTCCCCCTGGAAGCCCTTCAGATGCCTTTTCACCAGGCTCAGGCTGCAGCCCTCTCTTCTTGCCTTGGCCTCTAGTCCCGCAGGCCCCAGGCATGGCGTGTGGTGAGCAGCACACAGCTGGGCCCGCTGCCCAGCGTGAATCTGGCTCTGCCACCACCTGGCTGTGTGGCCTTGCCCATGTCATGTAAGCCCTTTGTACTTTAGTTTCCTCATCTGTGTAGCACCCGCCTCATAGGGTGGTCGTGAGGATTAAGTGAGATATTCCTGCCCAGTGCTGGGTGTGTCTGGTGCATGTTAAGCACCCATTAAGGGCCACCTCTGATTAACTATGGAGGAGCCCCCCCCCCCACCTTTTTCGTGCCTCTCAGTCCCTCGCCCACTAGGCCTCACCCACTCTGGCCTCTTCTCATTTCTAGAATCTTATCATGAGCATTATAATAGCACTCAGGATCATGTGGCTTGAAGATGCAGCCACGTCAAGAGCTTGGCACATAGCGAATGCTCCAGGAACTCTTATTCCTGCCTTGGGGACTTAGGCTGTGCTCTTTTCTCTGCTGATTTCTGCCCTGAGGTCCTGGCTTACATGATGTTCCTCAGAAAGCCTCCCTGTCCTCTGCTCTCCAGCACTCCCCTCTGCACAGAATGCAACACAGTTGTACTTAGAGAATTACTTGTGTCATTTCCGATGCCAGGCCTATCTTCCCCACTGGACTGTGAGCCCCTGAGGGCAGGGCCAGGACTATCTTGGTCCCCACTGTGTTCCCGGCATCACCTAGCATGGCCAGGTAGTTGGGACTCAGAAAATATCTGTTGAGTGAATGACCAAATTTGTCTTTTTCTCTCCTGTTCACCTATAGACACCTTAGCTGATGGTCTTTCCTCAGCGTGGCACACCCTTTCTCCTCCCCTCCTTATTAGGCCCTCTTCCGGTCAATTCTCAGATCTTACCTCAGATGTCCTTTCTCCAGGGAGCCTCCTCTGGGCTCCTCCCAGATTCCTGGTCCTCCCATCACTGCTCTTGCTACTATCAAGGGTGTCACCCAACTATGAGCTCCATGAGTTCAGGCACATGAGGCAGCTCTCCGTGAATACATGTTGAGTGACTAAATGACTCACTTGTCCTGTCTCTGACCTCCACAGCCCACAGGAGTCTTCAGCCGCCTGGGGGCCACCCCAGAGATGGACGAGGATCTGGCTTGGGACAGTGACAATGACAGCAGCAGTTCTGTCCTACAGTATGCCGGAGTTCTGAAGAAGCTAGGCCGGGGCCCAGCCAAGGCCAGTCCCCAGCCAGTGCTGACTGTCAAAGCCAAAGCCACAAGCTCGGCGACGACAGCCGACACCCCAGCGCTGCGGCGCCTGGCCCTTTCCTCTCGCTCGGGGCTCGAGGGGAAGCCGGAGTCTCTAGCCAAAGTCAGCATCATCCAGAGACTGGGCAAGGCTGTCCTTGTGCCCGAGGCCCAGGACAGCCAGGTCACGAGCACCAAGAGTAAGTCCTCGGCCGAGGTCAAGGTCACCATTAAGAGGACTCTGGGGCCCCGGGGGAGCAGCTCCAGCGAGGGCCTTGGTGCCCAGATGGACCATGCGGGCACTGTGAGTGTGTTCAAAAGACTGGGCCGCAGGACATTCTAGCCCACAGGTGGGGCGCAGGCCCCTCTCCAGGCCCCTGGCTCCATCAGAGTCTTCAGCGAGTGCGCGCCCACCGCTCTGGATGGCACTGCTGGTCTCCCTCAGGCATTCAGGCCCAGCCCGAGCTTCGGGGATTCACCCCGTTTTTCTGAGTCTGAGATGGTCACTGTGGCTTGGCCTTGCCGCTCTGGGACTTTCCCTTCTCTCGTGTCCTCTGTTCTGTCCTCTCTGACTAGCCTCGGCAGGGCCCACTTTTCTACCTCTCCCAAGTGCCCAGTGCCCTTTTCCTCTCCTACGTCCCTGTCCCTCCCTCCTAGCAGCATCTGCTGCCTCAAGCCCCAGCTCCTCAGCCTCCTGGTCCCTCAGAGTGGGTGTCACCTGGAGGGGCTCCCTTATCCCCCACCTTGCCTGCTTCCCTCCCCCTCACTCCTTTGCATCCCCTCCCACCCAACTGCTTTAACTTCTCTGTCTCTCCCTCTCTACACTCTGTTCATTTCTCTTCTGTTTTCTGTCCCTGTGGCAAGGCCCGACGGTCCGCTGCGTCCTGCCTGACCCTCCTGCACCACCGGCCTCCCAGCGGCCCCCTCGTCGACAGTGGCGTCGAGTCTGTAGAGACACTTAGCTGCCCTCGCTCCCAGGCTGCGGGGACCTTCCCAGACCCTGGGCTGCAACTGGGGCACCTCCATCTTCCTGCCCTGGGCATCTTTTTCTATGAAAAGCCGTTCCGGGTGGCGGGCAGGGGGCACTGGGAAGGGAGGCCAGTGCTGAGAGAGAAGAAAACAGCTGTTTTAATATATTTTTGTGACTTTCAAATTGTTTCCCTCCCCTCTTTCAAGGTGAGTCACAGGATTGTTTTTCACACAAAGCACAATGTGGGGAGGGAGGGATGTTGAAGGGTTGCGCTCTGCCTCTGAAGGTCAAGCTCCCTGCGCACACGTGGGCCATGTCTCTGCTCCAGGCCCCAAGCCCAAGGGAGTACTGGTCATGGTCATCATTCCGTTGTGCTCCCTCCTCCCCGCTGCAGACTGCTGCAGTTGTGTCACTGCCTTCCCTCTCCACAGATGTCACCTGTTTCTGTCATTCTCCCTGTTGGCGGCTTTCCAAATTGCAGGCTCCATTTGGAGGCAGTGGGTTCCCGTGGGTTTGATTTTCACTTGCTTGTTGCATAGCCCCTACTCTGTGCCAGGCCTGTTCTGGGAGCTGGGGACCCCTCTCTGAGCAAGGCAGATAAGCCCCTGCCCTCGTGGCTCTAGCCAGGGAGACGGGCAAGCAATGAGCAGAAGTGACCAGGGCTTCTTTAGATGTTGGGGGTAAGATGGCCTCTAGGAGGAAGTGACAGGTAGGCTGAGATGGGAATGAGAAACAGCTCCATGGAGTTCATCAGGAGTGCTTTCAGGCAGAGGAAACAGCCCGGCAAAGGCTTGAGGTGGGACAAGGAACGCGGAGGTGGCCAGTATCTGGCTGGCCAGCGAGTGAGGGGCCTGCTCTCCAGCACGGGTGGGACGGGTGGGCCAGAAGTAGATGACCTGGGGCTTTGTGACGCAGGGTGAGGAATTTGGAATTCATCCCGAGCATTGAAGGGTTTGGGAGGGGTTTGAGGCAGGTGAGTAATGATCTGAGTTGCCTTTTCTGAAGATGGCTGTGGCCCTGTGAGGGGGATAAATTGTTGGGAGGACAAGGGTGGAGCAGGGAGGCAGCCACTGCAGAAGCCCAGGTGAGAAAGGAAGGTTGGTGGTGGGGAGGAGAAGTGGGTGGCCTAGGGTTCGGAGGAGCAGCAGGGTGTTCCGATGGATTGAAAGTTGGGGTGAGGGGAGGATAGGAAGCATGGATCACACCTAGATGGGAGACTTGAGCATCTAGAGGAAGGTAGGTGCTGTTTGTGGAACCTGGGAGTGGGGTGGGAGGGCACTGGGCTTTCACCCTGTTGACGGAGGGGTGAGCAGGCTGCCGAGGCTCCAGGGGCCACCTGGGCTGGAGGTCAAGAGCTTCGGGGAGTGCTCAGGGTATTTGCTGTGTTCAAAGCTGAGGGCCTGGCGATACCAGCTTGAAAGGAGCAAAGAAGAGAGTACCCAGGAGGGACTTTGGGCCCCTTTTCCTATTTAGAGAACAGATCTGATAAGGAGATTACCAAGGAGTAGTGGGGAGGGTTTGGAGATCTAAGAGTACGTGAAGATGACATTAGACCTCATTCATTTTTTTTTTATTGTGGTAAAATATACATAATATAAAATTTACCATTTTACCCAGTTTTAAGCGTACTGTTCAGTGGCATTAAGCACATTTACATTGTTGTATAATCACCACCGCCATCCAGCTCCAGAACTGCTTTCGTCTTCCTGAACTGATCATTTATTTTTAGTTTTTCCATAATGTCATATTGGAAGGACTCTGTGTCAGGCAGTGTCCCAAGCACTGGGTCTGGTTGTGAAGGGCTGGGTTTCAGTATGAGCGACAATGTTAGAGGGAATAGCCATAGACCCCAGTCCTCGTGAGGGCCCAGGCTAGACCCTCGTGGGACTGGCTGAGGTTGGACCTAGGAAGGACAGCAAATGATGGCAATGTCAAGAAGATTCCAGAGGCCGCCCTTTCATGCCTGAGCCGCAAGGAGGTGCTCACACGCATATGTACTTTCCTTGCCACTCTTCAAATTTTTTCGCCCTAATAATTTCTTCAGGTTCCTCTCCATGGATAATTTTAGTGATGGCTAGAGTTAAGTAGAAGCGTTCAGTTACTAAATTTAAGAGCACAGGGTAAATTCTTTTTTTTTTTTTTTTAAAGATTTTTATTGGGGAATTGGAGGAGGGGAACAGACAAGTTGCTGCCCTTTTGTTCTTCAGTCTAGTTGTGGAGGACGTCGCTTCACTGGCCCATGTTGGCATTATCATTGCGCTCTTCCTGGGTAAGGCAGTCGCTTGTTGGCCATTGGATGGCCGGCGGCTCACGGCAGCTCATGAAAGCTCACGCCCGCTGCCAGCCAGCCCCACTGCAGCCCCATTGCAGCCTACGCTGTCGCTGGTGACTCATGGCAGCCCAGCTCCAGGTCGAGCTGTTATCACCATCTTAGCTGTAGAGGGCGCAGCATCACTGGCCCTCATATGTGGGATCTTATCTGCAGCCCTGCTGCTCAGAGCTGGTGTCCCAAGCCAACTCCTAACCAACGCGCCACTCGGCCGCACCGGGTCACTGCTTTCTTTGCCCAGCCCAACGAGCCAGATCCACATTGCCCAGGGCCCTGGTTGAGTGACCCCCTCCCTGAGTTCCAGTTCCCTTGTCTGTAAAGGTGGTTGACCGTAAGACTGTCTAGTAGGAATTTTGGGAGGTTTGGTGATTGTGTTCATCTTTTTTTCAGTTTTGATAATGTTCATCTTTTCAGTAGATGTTAATTGAGGACTTGTGAAGTGCCAGAAATGGTGTGTGGATACAGCAGTAGACAGGCAGTGTCTCCTCATGGAGCTGGCATGCTTGTGGAAGAGTCCACCAGTAAATAAATAAGTGTAATTTAATGTTAAGCAGTACTAAGGGCTATGAAGAAAAAGAAAGTGTAGGGTAAGGGGGTAGAGGTTGATGGTGTGGTCGGGAAGCTTTCTCTGAGGAGTTCCCCTCTGAGAGGAGACCTCAGTGAAGAGGCAGAGCAAGCCTGCTGGTACTCGGGAACTGCATGCCAGGCCGAGCAAACGGTACACACCCTTGCTGGGTGAGGAAGACCCAGAGACCAGCTTGGCTAAAGTGGAGGGACAAGGTCAGTGCAGGGCTGAGTAACTGGTGGGTGAAGTATGGTAGGAACCAGCCTTGTCTAGGACCTCAGGAAAGGCCCCCAGGGCAGGGAAGGGTGGGCTAGTTCCTGGGAAGACAGACCCACCCCACCCCCAAGTATCCCCACATGAGGACAATGCAGCCACGGAGTGACCCTGGCTGCCCCTTCCCGATTCAGTCCCAAGGCTGGCCTTCTTCATCCTGGCCTCCTTCCCAGGGCCCGCTCAACTGGACTCTCCCTTTTGCTCCCGGCAGCTGCCTCCCGAATGATCACCAACAGCCTAAACCGTGACTCTCCACCAGGTACTCCCCCCAGGCGGCGGGACACCAGTACCTCCAAGATATCTGTCACTGTGTCCAACAAGATGGCAGCCAAGAGTGCCAAGGCCACTGGTGAGGAGACTTGGGCAGGTGGTGGGAGGAGCTAGAGGGGAATGTGGGTTGGGAGATCGTATTTGGGGGTCACGTTCCCAACATTTTAAGTACTTTGAAGGCCACCAGGTGTCCATAGTTTTTGGACTTGATAAGTCACCGCGCCTCTGTGCGCCTCGCTTTTTGTGTCTGTAGAGTGGGGCTGGTTGTACCCTACCCAGAGGATGGTCAGGAGCACAAGAGATGGTACATTTAAACATGGGTGCACTGTGGTTCTCACTCAGCAGTTGGTTTAGTCTTTTTTTTAAAAAAGATTTTATTGGGGAATTGAGGGAGGGGAGACACACAAATTGCTGTCCTTTTGTTCTTCGGTCTAGTTGTGGAGGATGGTGCTTCACTGGCCCATGTTGGTATTATCATTGCACTCTCCCTGAGTGAGGCAGATCGGTTGCTGGTCACTGGATGGCCGCTCACACCGGTTGCTGGCCGCTCATGCTGGCTGCCAGCCACTCACGGTAGCTTATGGCAGCCCACTGCAGCAGGGGCTGCAGCCTACGCCATCGCCGGTGTCTCGCGGCAGCCCAGCTCCAGATCGAGCTGTTGTTCAGCATCTTAGCTGTAGAGGGCAGCGTCACTGGCCCTCATGTGGGATCTGAACCGGGGCCCTGCTGCTCAGAGCTGGCGTCCNCTGTTTGTGGAGGACGTTGCTTCACTGGCCCAAGTTGGCACCATCATTGTGCTCTTCCCGGGCGAGGCAGATCAGTCGCCGGCTTCTGGACAGCTGCTCACGGCGGCTGCTGGCCACTCACGCTGGCTGCTGGCTACACACGGTAGCCCATGTCAACCCACTGCAGCAGGGGCTGTAGCCTATGCTGTTGCCGGCGACTCATGGCAGCCTAGCTCATGTTGTTCGGCATCTTAGCTGTAGAAGGCAGTGTCACTGGCTCTCATATGTGGGATCCGAACCAGGGCCCTCAGGCATCCCAAGCCAGTTCTTAACCAATGCGCCACTCGGCCGGCCCCAGGGTAAATTCTTGATGTGTAATAGGATCTACAATGATATAAACACAGGTATAGCTCACACGCTGATAGGCTTACTACCTGTGTGAGGTAAGTCGTCACTATTGTTCTCTACAGAGGCTTAGAGGGGAGTAAACTGCTGAAGGCCTTACCTAGCTGGCAAGTGACAGGACTGGGGTGGATGTGAGGGACGTGACCGGGACCCTGACCTCTTAACCCCTTACCCTGTGCTGCCTCAATTGCAGATTTGAAACAGGGCCCTTTTGGAAAGGGGAGGGGAGTCCTAGGAGAATGGTTTTGGATTTTTTAGAGTTAGCTATGTCCCCCCTACCCCATCAACTTGCTTTCCAAAGCATTTGTAGCTCTGGGGTGCCTCAGCGCCTTGAGTCATGTCCCATCCTGCCCCCGAGCTGCACGCCTCCTCCACACTTCCTCCGCCTGCAGCCCCTCTAGAGCCCCAGTGTCCTACCCA